TACAGCTCAGGTCCATACAGCCCTCCACTGCCTGAGTCCCTGCCCAGCCCAGCCAGCCACTCACCTGGACTTCTGTCATCCTCTGCTCTCCTGACTCAGGTGAGACTGTGGGTGTGGCCTTCTCAGCAGCCATGAGCAGCCAGGGATAGGTGCAGAGCAGCAAGGTGGAGGGAGCGGACCACCCGGGGTCGGGGGAGTGCTGGTGACAGGAAGCAGGAGGGAGCAGAGGATCCCATTGCTGGAGCACTTGGAAGTGAGTCCTCCGGTGATGGGCCCATCCCGGCTTCTCTGTAACATGCCTGGAGCAGACCCTCCAGGCATGCTGCAAATATTGGTGTCCCACCCACATACCTTGGGCCTGATCACTTCCCCGTGTTTCAGAGACTTCCACATGTGAGCATCTGCAGGTGTCTGCCAAGAATAGTCTACACCACAGAAGCCCTTTTGCCAGGTAGGAGAACCAGGGAATTAATCTGCAGGAGCTCCTCTGCCGGCAGGTATGCAAGCCAGAAGAACCAGAGAATTAACTCTGCAGGAGCCCTTTGCTGGTGTGTGTACAAGCCAGGAGAACCAGGAGATTGACCTGCAGGAGCAGCCCACGAGCAAGGGGAACGGGTGTATAAACACGGCAGCTCCCTCACTTCTGCTAGGCTGTGAGGTGCTGTGCTGCAGTGGCTCCCAGGGTTCCTCTGTGGGACTGAGCTCCAGGCACCTGCAATGGGAGCTGACCACCCACCTTTTACTAGCAGCCTCCCTTCCCTGCCCCACTCCCCACTCCCCAGCTGCTCAGTGGTTTTCCTCACCTCCCAAGTAATAGACTTGTACTCAAGTCCTTAGACCCAGGGTCTGCTTCTGGGGGAACCTGAAACACAACACCAGGTCATGATCTGTTTTATGTTCACAGCGGATGAGTCAATAGGGGAGGTCACTGGGAAGAGTGCAGGACTCAGCCCACAGCTAAGGGGACTGGGCCCAGAGCTCTCTGCTCCTGAGTTCTGCAGAAGGTTGTGCCTGGTGGATCCTCCTTCCCCAGAGTTGATCACCAAGGGCCACTGCTCAAAGGAACACCAGGCTGAGTTCACCACAGTCACTGTTGGGATAGAAGGGGACCACGGTGGCCTTGTGAGGGCAAAGCAGTGCTTCTGGAAAAAGGCCACGCCCTCCCCTAACTCCCATAGGGAAAGAGGGGGCTCACTGCCCATGGGGGCAGGAAACCAAGGCCCTACGAGGCCCTAAGGAAAACACTCAAAGTTGGGGGGGAAGGTCTGCACCATTTCATCTCGCCACCACCAAGTCTAGGGCTAGAGACCAGAGGTCAACTGACCCCGTGCCTGACCACTGGACCTACAGAAGCAACACAGTGGCTGAGCAGAAAGAGGGAGGCCAGCTGATGTGATGAGATCATCTGAGTTTCTTGTGGATTTAGTGACCCAAGAAGGTGGCTGAACTTAAGCCAACTTTGGTCTGTCTCCCGGATAAAGAAACCCAGCACGAAGAGTCTGTAGGGTGGACTTCCTCAACAGGGGGCTGCAGGAGGGGAGGGGAGATTCACCAAAAGTGAGATCACCCAAGCTAGGTCCCCACAGATTCCTCTGGAGAACCAAGATATGCCCCAGGAGAGATGGGGAACCTGCCGCAGACAGGGATCCAAGCACAGGACAGGGTGAGAGAGAGAGCAGCAACCAACCGAGAGTCAACTCGGACCTTGCCTCCCAGATGCAGGGACGAGCTCCAGCGCAGATCTCTAAGGCCAGAGGAGAAGGGAAAGTGTGAGAGGGCGAGCCAGGACGTCGCCACCAAACCCCACCCAGAGCCAGGAGTCTGGCCTGCACTGGGGTGAAGAATGGAAAGNACTCAGCCCACAGCTAAGGGGACTGGGCCCAGAGCTCTCTGCTCCTGAGTTCTGCAGAAGGCTGTGCCTGGTGGATCCTCCTTCCCCAGAGTTGATCACCAAGGGACACTGCTCAAAGGAACACCAGGCTGAGTTCACCACAGTCACTGTTGGGATAGAAGGGGACCACAGTGGCCTTGTGAGGGCAAAGCAGTGCTTCTGGAAAAAGGCCATGCCCTCCCCTAACTCCCATAGGGAAAGAGGGGGTTCACTGCCCATGGGGGCAGGAAACCAAGGCCCTACGAGGCCCTAAGGAAAACACTCAAAGTTGGGGGGAAAGGTCTGCACCATTTCATCTCACCACCACCAAGTCTAGGGCTAGAGACCAGAGGTCAACTGACCCCGTGCCTGACCACTGGACCTACAGAAGCAACACAGTGGCTGAGCAGAAAGAGGGAGGCCAGCTGATGTGATGAGATCATCTGAGTTTCTTGTGGATTTAGTGACCCAAGAAGGTGGCTGAACTTAAGCCAACTTTGGTCTGTCTCCCGGATAAAGGAACCCAGCACGAAGAGTCTGTAGGGTGGACTTCCTCAACAGGGGGCTGCAGGAGGGGAGGGGAGATTCACCAAAAGCGAGATCACCCAAGCTAGGGCCCCACAGATTCCTCTGGAGAACCAAGATATGCCCCAGGAGAGATGGGGAACCTGCCGCAGACAGGGATCCAAGCACAGGACAGGGTGAGAGAGAGAGCAGCAACCAACCGAGAGTCAACTCGGACCTTGCCTCCCAGATGCAGGGACGAGCTCCAGCGCAGATCTCTAAGGCCAGAGGAGAAGGGAAAGTGTGAGAGGGCGAGCCAGGACATCGCCACCAAACCCCACCCAGAGCCAGGAGTCTGGCCTGCACTGGGGTGAAGAATGGAAAGGCTTTGAATAGGATCTGAGGTTTAAGTTTTAAAATGGACAGGACCCAGCCTTAAGATCCAACAGTGACAGTTTTAATAACCGAAAGTGACTAGGAAGTGATGGGATTCAGCTGAGATCTCATCACTGGAGCTTCTACCAGGCTGTTAGTGGTAGATCAACTTAGCAGAGTTGGAAGCAGACATTAGAAATGCTAAGACTATCTTATGGGTTGATTGTGTCACCAACAAAAAAAGATATGTTGAAGTCCTAAGCCCTAGAACTCAGGATATGACCTTATTTGGAGAAAGGATCATTGCAGGTGTAATAGTTAAGATAAGGTCACACTGGAGTAGGGTGGACTCCTAATCATGTGTGACTGATGTCCTTACAGGGATGGCCATGTGAATACAGAGACATACAGGAAAGAATCAGAGAGTGCAGGTGTACAGCCGCAAGCCTAGGAACGCTGAGGACTGCAGCAACTACCATGAGACAAGAAAGGATCCCCTACAGGTCTCAGAGGGAGTGCAGCTCTGCCAAACCTTGACTTTGGACTTCCAGCCTCCAGAAATGTAAGAGAATAACTGTTTTAATCCACCCAGTTTGTGGCATTTTGTTACAGCAGCCCTATCAAACTCATACAGACTATTTCACATTTTACATCTCGTGCACAGCACCAGCAAGGCTCCTTTCCTTAGCCCCACTACAAACTTTTTTCTTCTCTGATAGGATGAGCTTGGCTTGAACACACACAGCCTGGGGGAGGTATGCAGTATGTTTATGTGCAAAGGGGCTGTTCCCATGGGGCTGGAGAACCGGGAGATGGGTGTAACCAAGGAAGTCCCAAAATTCACTTTCTCACCTAGTGGGAATACCCATTTGAGGGGAACTCATGACCATCACTGGGCTTCTTATGGTTCCACTGAGTTGGCCTCATGCTTAAAAAGGGGTCTTCAAAGATGGGAAGGGAGTTGGCATGACCTGGAGGGTAGACGGGACCTATGAGAAGGGAGGGGTCGTTGTGTTCCTCACCCAGAACAGTGATGGGGAGAGGCATCCTGGGGACTTTGAAGACCACGGGAACAGAGGTGGTAAAGGTGCCCACCTGACTGTGAGAGCTNTGGGGACTTTGAAGACCACGGGAACAGAGGTGGTAAAGGTGCCCACCTGACTGTGAGAGCTCGTGAGGAGTCCCCAAAGCTTTCAATGCCCCCGAAGCCACCCTGATGTTCGACTGGACCCTCCCAGTCCCAACAAAATGCAAGTAAACTCAGATCCCCAACATCACGGATTGTGAAGCCCTGAGTCCTTCCCAAGATTCCCACAGATTCCTGACATGTCTCCTCGGCCCACGCCACCTTCTCCTCTCTCCCATGTGGACACAGGCACAAAGCTCGGTCCCTTCCCCAGTTTCTGTAAAGACACACTCACTCTGAGCATTCTGAGAATTGAGAGTTCCTCAAGGATCTGGGTGGGCACCCAGGGAGTGGTCCTCGCGAGCACCGCATCATCCCTTCTCCCGGGCTCCATGCACGCCCCTCTCCCCTCTCCCCGCATCACCCCATCTCCCCGGCTCCATGCACGCCCCTCTCTCCTCTCCCTGTCCCTGCTCCCAGTAGATCCACTGGCAAACTCCTCCCCTGATGTCACATGAAACAGCTCTGCTCACACCCAAGATCCCTGTGCTTCTCCCCTCCACACTTGTCAGGGTCTATGTATTTTGTCAAACAAATGTAGTTTCCTTCCTAAGCAGAATTCAGGTGCCACCCAAATATGTGTTTGTTTCTTGTGTTATTTCTGAAAACAGGAGAAAAAGGAAAAAGTCAAAGGACCAAAAAAGAGACCCTATGCTTCAAGACTCCAGAAAAGGGCTGGAGAAACGGCATGTTCTCTCTCAGCTATTGTGGGTGAGAACAAACCAAACCCAAGGCAAGAATCACTTTAGAGAGGAGGCGGAGGCTGTGGGGCCAACCCAAAGTTAGAGACGACGAAAGCCAGCCTGGCTCTTAAAACCAGAAAGACCCCAGGGATCCTACAGCAAGGAACACAGTCCACTTGGCCGTGGAGGGCTGGAGCGAGCAGGAGCTGAATCCACGTCTGGAAGGTGTTCGTCTTCACCTGGTCTCCTCGCACACCATCTGATAGAGCTCTCTGGGCCCCTCCACTGGGCCACGGGCCGGGACTGGCCCAAATTTCCCCAGCCCACGGGTGATTCTAACAATCAGTGCTACGGAAACAAGACAGCCAAGAATGCAAACCCATGACACTTTCAATATACTTTATTAAAAAGTTTCTTTGTATAAATTTCCTAAAAATTTTAAAATTAAAATTAAACCCCAACCCCCGCACAAAAAAAAAAAAACCACACACACAACATTAGAGGAATGCCAAAAATATTCTCTATTATGACTTTCTTTTCATTCTTTAATTAAGGCATTGGTCCCAACAGTGCGCGAAGATTAAGGGATTTTGCTTGCTCCTAACTAGAGCATTCGTTCGAGGCTTTAGAAAAGGAAAATTAGCTTGAAATCTAATTGGAAAGGAAATTAGGGGGAAGTTGGGGGGAAAGGAAGAAGTTGGGTTCTTGTGTCTCCACCATACACAGGCTTTCCATCTAAAGTCATGCTAAATTAAGAGGGGAAAAAAATGAACCAAGCGAAAGTATATAGAGTAGCTGTGACGTTTGGCGTTATTTTCTAGATCTTACATTTGCCTGAGACCGGCATAACATAAAACTCCAGAGGGAATTTGAATTTATAGACATGTTCACATAAACACCAGCAGTGGATAACTATTACACAACGTTCGAAGTATACGATATAACTGCCTGGAGACAAAGAGCCATGGGTCCACAGACACACTTAGCACCATATTGATAGGTCATGCGGCAGAACGTTTCCTCCCGAGATCGAGTGTAAATCAAAGCAGGAAATGGTACAGTGCAAGGGGATCTCGACCCAGAGCTTCTACAAAGACAACTGGGAAATGGCTGACTCCTTCTTCAAGAGGTATGTGTTGCTGGCCAGCCGCGCTTAGGTTCCGATCACATTGATGACTCCAGGTTTGGCGAGCACTGAACGTTGGGGTAGGCGGGAGAGAAGAGGAGAGGAAAATGCCACATTACTGGCTGGAAAGGACACTGTGTTTGTCAGGACCGTGACAAGTCGGCCTCTGGTTTCCATCACCATTGTCACTTTTCTCAGTACCATCAGTGGCTCCCTGTGACGTTCTTGGCCTGGGGTTTGGAGCTCTTCGAGCAACCTGAATCCATTTTCTCGCCTGTATCACCTGCCAGGCCTTTTGTAAACTGAACACTGCCTGCTCTGGTACTGACCCCAGGCTTGCTCCAAGTTGTTTTTATTTATTACCAATCGAGTTGCCCAACGTAATGGAGTAATTGGTTGGCCATAGTTTTAACATTATTACTTATAGGAAGCAAAACGAATTAAAGATGAATATATGGGGGTTATCTTTGGTGTTATCTATAATTGTTCATTATATTATTTTCCAAGTAATCATGTTTGGTGCAATATTTTATGAATAACAGGGACGTAATAACATTTCCAAAGAGTAACAAGTAGTTGGCCATGTGTTTCTTCACTGGCAAAGATACAAGTACACAAGTATGTTTTTAGGAAACAAAATAATAATTCAAAAAATGAATTTCATGTGTTTTATTTGAACATCTTCCTTATCTGAGGATACAGTTTGTCCTCTGTTCTATAGAGTATATCATAATCATTATCATTCAAATATTTTTCGAAGGTGAGTTGACCTGAACCCCTTATCATACTTGTAGAAGCCATACACACAAAGAAAAATCACTTACCAGGAGCGCAGACCTTTTCACATTCTTTCTGTGATTCAAATTTGTTTTCATTTCCACCACAGCCTCCGTACCAGAATCTTGCACAGCTTTTGGTCTCCGGATCATAGTACCATTTTAATATGAAATCCCTGCAAGTTCCTTCTTCTTTTGGCAACTTACATATATCTTTAATAACAAGATGAGAGGAAAAAGACACACACACACACACACCAGTTAGAATGTGCGAGTTACTCTGCTCCCAACACTACTTTGGCAACTTACATATATCTTTAATAACAAGATGAGAGGAAAAAGACACACACACACACACCAGTTAGAATGTGCGAGTTACTCTGCTCCCAACACTACGACTGATGGTCTGGTCATGGTCCTGTTCCAGAGAGGAGAGAATTTCCAGGTGGAAAGCCCCCTAAACCTCCCTGAGCCTCAGTTTCTTTACTGACCTATGGACATCATAATCACTAACAGCTTTGTGAAAAATAAATAAAATCATATCAAGAAAAGGACTTCATAAACTGCATTGGGAATCCCAAATGCTAACTATCATTACTGTGTAATTTAACATGAAATTAACTGTTTTTTCCTCTTTTTAATCACTGGACCATTTACTCTCCAATTCCTTCAATGCTAAATTCCCACAGAAGAAACCAAATTTTATAACCTCGGAGTTTTCTACTCCTCAGCAAAATGGTGATTAAATTTTGTCAGAACATAGTTCAGAAATAAGCCTGTACATTTTTCTGCAAGTCAAGTCGACTGAAAATCAGAGGTAAAGGGGAAAATAAAAACCCTTTTTGAATGCGTGTGCACATGCTCAGCCCAGTGACTTCATGACCTGCTGAGTTAAACAAGTAAGAAGAGCTGGCCATGATGCAAATGCATTTTACTGTGACGGCAAAAATGTCATATAGAAAAGCTATTTTGAAGACAGAGAAACATTCTTTCTCCAGTTAAGGAAGTTGATGTGTTAAATGCACACTTCTGATGTAACCCAGCTGCAAGTAAAGCTAGGCCCCCTGACGTCTGGAGAGAAGAATTTATAGCTCACACACAGTAAGATTTCTGGTTACAGTTTTCTGGCAAATTCCAGATAGTGCTGGGAAAAAGAAGCATTGATGTCAACTGTTATCTGAAAATGTAAGCCTTCTTTTGACAAAACTCCCTGGAGCCAAGGATGCTGCGTGTTTATGTGAGTATCTAACAGGCCTGACTCATCTGCCTGTCCCCACAAAGGGCTGACATCTCCATTGGCCTTTGTCCCCTGCTCGGCAAGTTGCTCACAGCTGCGGAGATGGGGAGCACCTATAGTTCTGATTGATCCCAAAAAGGACAAGGGAAACCTGAGTCTTTTGGTGGATAATCAAAGCTTGAGTCACCCATAAGGGACCAGACTCAACAATACACAGGACTGAGGCTGAGACTTGGTCTAAAACATTCCCTGGTTGCTGTGGGGAAGCTGTCACCCAGGCCTGAAGGCTGGTAGCTCCACAACAACAACATCTCCTAGTTGCGGACCCTCTTGGGGGCCCAGAAAGCCAGCTGTACTGCCAGGAGCCTTTGAAGACCCAAGGACGCCAGAATAAAATGATGAAAATTTACAAAAACCACCTTCTTTCTCTCAAATGTGCCAATAACTGAAGGAACATGCCTGGCTTTCAAAGAATGTCATGGAGGGAACCGAGCAAGGCAGGATTGTTATTCACTAAACATACTCCTTGTTTACAGGTGGGTTCCCTGCCAGTGTGAGGCCCAGGTCAAGCAGCTGCCTGGTCTCTTCTCTCCCACTTTCTCCAGTCCCCATGCCCCTGGGCTCTTCTGAACCAGATGCAAGAAGTCGGCCCAGACCCAAGGACAAGCTGGGCCAGCCCTGCAGAGGGAGCCCTGCTCCCCGACTGACTGGCTTTTCCAGCTTCCTTTGACTTTCACCCCAACTCTCCAGTCCCGAACTGTCATGCTGCACTTTCCACCCTTACCCCAGCAAGAGTCACTGCTAAGACCTCTAAGTTTACTATTGGGATATGAGGACAAACAGGTATTCGGGAAACCAAGAGAAATATATTAATGAGGGCCCTACACTACTCAAAGACAAAAAATTGGGGATTCTCCATTTTTAAAGCATGAAAATGGGAGATTTTGTATTCTTAAGAAGGCTTCTAATTTTAATCTCCACAGTCTCTTGACTTCTGAGGCCCATCATTTTGGCTGGACTCTCCTAAGCTATGTCTACATATGCTTAAACAACTATTTTAAAACAGAAAAAGAAAAGAAAATTAAACTGTTCTATAGCGCAAAGGAGGATGGTTGGCTCTCACAGAGCTTCATCTGGACTCTCCCCTAGAATGAGTCTGACTGGGATAGTTTTTCATGTTTTCCTTTTAAAATGATTTTGCCCCTTTGGGCATAACCCTGGAGGGAGTCCAGGGTCCTCTCTTTGCATGAAAAGAGTGTTTGGCTGCATAATTATTAGTTTTCTCCTCCTTGTCATTGAGAAGCTAACCGGAGCCTGAAAGACAATAAGGAGGAAAAACTATCAATAACTTCTCCTGGCTCACTTTTGCCTTCAATAACAATGTAAATACGTTTCATTTTTAAAGAGAGACTTGAAGGGCTGCCTTACTCAGACCACCATCTGGTGAAACATCCTGACTGTACTGTCACTCACAGGGCTTCAGTGAACATCCAGTGTGATAAAGGACGCCAGTGCAAATGGAAGCCCCCGGGTCACAGGAGCCACAGGAGCCAACCGAGAGCATTCTGAACGTCCAGCCACAGTGGGGTGCAAGGCACCCGAAGAAACACGGCCCCTTCCTATAACACAGTGTGTGTGTGTGTGTGTGTGCGCGCGTGCGTGCGTGCGCGTGTGCGTGCGTGTGCATGCATGTGTGCGTGCGCGTGTGTGCGTGCGTGTGTGTGCGTGCGTGTGCGTGCGTGTGCGTGCGTGTGTGCGTGTGCGTGTGTGCAGGTGTGAGCTCCCACTGCATGACCTGCCCACACCTAATATTAACGGAAAAAGTCAGAAGGACATGTACCTGGTCACTAATGGTGGTCATCAACGGCCACCAATGTTGAGACAATGGAAGTGAGATATTTTTATGTTTTGCCGCATGTTCTGAATTCCTCACAATGACGATCTATTCATTTTATAATCAGCCAAAAAAATTACTCTTTGAAGCAGAAAACACATTAATTGGAAAACCTTGCCTTTTTTATAGTTTGAGATTTTCATAGTGCTTAAAAGCATTTTTAAAATCATCAGCTTTCACATTCTGCAAACCAGCAAGTTATCACCATCCAAGCACTTCCTGAGCCAAGGGAAGGGGGTGAGGAGGGAGTTGTTCAGGCTGTAACTGTAAACAGGCTCCTCATCTGTTTAATAGTTTCAAAAACAAGAAGATTTAACAGCCTTTGGACCCAACACCGTTGATATGGCATAAACTACTTCCAGACCGCGGAGGCAGTGATGATCTGCCTGATTGAAAAAACTTTCTGGTGCCTGCATTTCAAGCATTGGTTGGTAATGAAGATACCAGGAAACTTTGCATTTTTTACTTTATTTTCGAATGCAGTTGTGGTTAATTTTGCACCCTTTACTCTTTCAGATCTTGACCAACAGACTGCTATTTTTTAAGACTTCACAATAAACACCCTCTAAGGTCACCAAACCCAAACACTGCGACTGACACAGACACATTCTCACACAGTGATAAACAGTCAGCCCTGAAGATGGTCATTTCTCCTTAACCAAGTAGACCAAATATTTGTAGCTATTTTATTTTCCTCAACCTGTGGGGTTAAGTTAGCTCTTTAAATTATTATTAACATGGAGTCAATATTTTGTCCACTACATCATTTTGGGTAATCTGTGATATACAAGGGCACTTCAAAAAGTTCATGGAAAGATCCACATTGTCTTTCAATTCTATTTTTCCACATATTTATCGTGGAACACAGCCAACCAAATGCTGTATTATGTCAAATCTAAGATATCTTAATTTTATGATGCACTATTATTTTATGTTCCACTAAGTAACACAAAATACTACCAATAAACCTTGACATGTCATCAATCGTAAGTCACGTTTCAGTCGCAGAAGTGTTACAACAAAAAAAGAAAATTGTGCATCTTAGATGAATAAGTAAAATGTTGGTGCACATAAAACGATGTTTTTTTCGGAGCTGTGTAATTGACACAGTGATGCCTGCTCAGACAAAATGATCGCTGCCTTCTAGAATAAGTGATAAAGAATGTTATGCTTTTTGTTAGTTATTTCTGTTAGTTTCTTCATTGAAATTTTTCTTCAGTACATATGGTTAAATCAGTATTTAGGATTAATTCTGTAATATTGCTAAAGTAAATTTTCTGAATTAGATTTTTTTTTGCTTAGAAACTTTAGAGAGTCTTAGCTTTAGTAATAATATGCATAGAAAATATCTATCCAAGGCTTCCTTGATGCTTTCTCAAGGCTGTGATAATGAAAGATTCGTGTAACAGTCCCTACTGCCATTTGTAGGAAGAAAAATGTGGCTGGGATGTAATTCTTTCAGATGACATGGAAAGCAAAAAGTGGGGTGGGATTTTTTGTGGGGGTCGATTTTGTTTTGTTTTAAAAAATACAAGTATTAAGCATTTAAAATTGAATCATGTGATATTGCAAAGCCTAGAATCCTGAATGGTTAGTAATGAGGCCGTAAGTCTGCTGATGGAATCGACCTTCATCTCCAGGTGAGGTCTTGCTGCCACACATGCCCTCCATACCAAACAGGGCCAGACCTTACTTAGGGGACAAAGAATCCCCTAACCAGTCCTCACATTACGTGCCTGTGTCAAATTCCTGATAAACAAGTATCTATTAAATGCAAATTTCAAAATGAGAAACCAGTAACATATGGGAATGAAACCTCATGCCACCACTGGTCACGTTATCTTCCTCTGCATTAGCTAACTAGGACCAGGGCCTTTCCATTTCATGGTGATTTTGACTACAGATCCATGCATAGATCTGAACACAGGTCATCACATTGACTAAATCCAAAGAGGTAAACTATGATAAAATACAGGTCCCTGAGATAAAATCTTTCATTCATGGAAGTAAAAAAAAGTAAGGAATAGTATCTAACATTTGATACTAAGAAAGGGACACATCCTGTAAACATAAACCATGTTCCTAATTAATTGATGCTGCAGAAAATTAGAGAAATTAAAATGAATATGTGTCCTTAGAGAAAAGCTAGTTTTAGGGCTGAGCCCGTGGCGCACTCAGGAGAGTGTGGAGCTGGGAGCGCTGCTGCCGCGGGTTCAGATCCTATATAGGGATGACTGGTGTGCTCACAGCGCTCACTGGCTGAGCGCGGTGCGGCCAGTCTCAAAAAGGACAAAAAAAAAAAAGAAAGAAAAAAGAAAAGCTAGTTTTAGAACTTAATTTTGCCTGAATTGTCTAAAAAATATGTCCTTGGAGAAATAATCCATATTCCGGTAATTGGTATTTGGATGCAAAATATATATCAACTACTAAGAATGCCACTCCTCTTTTTTATCTCCAAAAAAATATAAATAGTATTAAAATATTCTACCCTCCTGGAGAAAATGTCTAAGATGACAATTATGGGAGAAGGGGACAGGGGAGGGGGAGAGGTTGGCGGGGAGGGGTAAGACAAGCATCCATTTCTTAATGCTGTTTATCCATTTTGAATTTTAAACATTTTAAAGTAAATATTCAATTGATTTAATTCAAAAAGAACTCTCAAAAATGGCTGCATTTGTGTGCACTTGCATATGTTCATTGAGTAAATGTGTATTAAGTGCCTTCTCCAGGCAAAGTATTGCTTGTTACTCTGGGTTACAGAGATCAATTATGCAAGTCCTTGTTCTTAAGAAAAACAAGTAATTTATAGCTTCACAGTGACTTGAATCAATGGGTGGGAATGCACAGGTATGCACATGTACACACACACCAGTGTGAAATGGTGAGAGAACACGCACACCCTGGGTTTGAGGGTCATGTACAACTCAGTGTGAAGGAGAAAGTTTTTAGATTCATCTATAGCAAACTACCTGTAGCCTTGAAAGAAACACAAGCCCCAATTTCAAAAACTCTTTTTTCTTTATCATATAGAGAGAGAAGATCTCAGTATTAAAGGCTGGATTGAAAGCGTCTTCCTAATTCAGAACTTCACGACTCAGTATTTAAAAACAAAACGAAACAAAACAGCCCAACCACCAGATTCTTCCAGATTATTTTTTAAAGATTGTGTTGTTTACATTAATTAAACACTGTTTATGTATTCTTGTCCCTTCTGGAACACACACAAGAGAATCAAAAAATGCCCAAATCTCACTGTCTCATTTACTCTGAGTCATTTTCTCTCAATGAAACACTGAATTGCTAGAAATTTTACATTTCCACACTGTATCATGGGTAAAGTTAACCAGAGAGTGGGAAACAGTATACATAGATTTCGGTGACTTTGAAGTCAAAGTTAAATCTGTCCTGACCTATATCTTTGGGGAAAATTTAGTGTCAGCCCAAGGGGGTAGTTCAGGAATGCAGCTGGGTTGGGTAAGGAGCCACAGGACCCCACCAGTGCAGGGGACAGAGGCTCATCCATGCTCCTGTGATGTGGGACTCAGAAAACTGCTGATAGGCAGAAATCAAAAGGCTGAGACTTAGGGTGTTTTCTCCTCCCTGCCTCACCAAACCCTCACTTCACAGGCCTACTTGCATTTTTTTTAGTTTGAGTTGAAAATCATAACATTAAATTTTTTTGTAAAATATTTTTATACAATCTCCAAGAAGTTAAAACTTAATTATCCAATCTACCATGAATTCCTGGGTCATTTCCATAAATTTATATCAAGGAGAGAATTTTCCGGTTTTCTATCAGTCCCTTCCACTGGAGATCCTAGAGGAGTTTGAAAAACACATGGCTGTCCCTAACACAGACCCATTCCTAGACTTGTCTCCAGAGCAAACTATTTTAAACACTTTCAGTTCTATAGATAGGTCACTTATTTATCCTTATTAGACATCTAGGTATGTAACAGTTCCACAATTCCCACATCGACCTGGTTACCTTCTTTCTACGAACTCCTGATGCCACCGGTCAGTATGGGATGTGGCCCTATAAAGTGATTATAGACATACAGATATAGACACACATGGATACAGGTGAAAGTCCATCAGAGGAAGAAAGCATTCTGGCAATCTTAAGAATCAAGAGGCCACTACTCCCCCAGTGGCCCCAAAGAGATGAGGGTACGGAGTCAGAAAACATGTAGAACCATCTAATCTTTTCTAAGCATGGATGAGATCAGGTGCAGATGCTACAGAAAGGGTAAGATGGAGAAAAACCATCATTTTAAAAACGTACAGTAGAAAGAGTAAAACGAGGAATATGTACATGATAGCTCCAAAAAAATATGCTGTTGCTTCTGACAACGTAACGCATATTGAATAGGCATAGCTGCTTTTAAATCCAGAGCAACACAAAAGCAGCAAGGCACTCTGCAGACACTTTTTACTGTAATCAATTGCAGAAATAAGCATTGTAAAGAGACATGCATTCCTCCTCCTGACTATTTAAATCCAGAGCAACACAAAAGCAGCAAGGCACTCTGCAGACACTTTTTACTGTAATCAACTGCAGAAATAAGCATTGTAAAGAGACATGCATTCCTCCTCCTGACTATGGCCGACACACAAAAACTAATGAATTGTCCCCATAGTTAGCATAGACCTTCTGCCTTGGGGTCTATAAAGCAAGATTACACCTAAGTTCTCATGGAATGTTAATTTGTTGTATCAGTACCAACGTCTTTTGCTGAACACTCTTACACAAAGCATGCTGACTATTTTAGTAACTGGTTTCTGGTGGGTGAACAAGTAAAGCTGACATTCCAGTGTATGAGGATCTTCCTTGCCCAGGAACAAAAGCAGGTGGCAGCTGTCAGTTTCCAAATTCCCTCTGACTAGTCATGAACTTAACATAAAATGTGCACACACTCGGGGCTCAGGCACACAAGATACTGGTACGATAGAGTAAGCCAGGGCGTGGGCTTAGTGAACTTGGATCAGAACATCCCCCGGGGCACGTCCAAACCCATGTGTCTCATAGTTCCAATCTGAGTTGTCTTGTGTTCTTCTAAGCAGTTTTTTATCAGATTAAATCACTGAGTGGATGAAACCCCACTCTTTGCAGCATTACAGACCATAAATCAACTCCAGTCCCAATAAGAGATAGAAGGAAAATGACTAATGGATACATGAATTCTGGCTATAGCCCCGAGAGCAACTCCCATCTGCTTTTCTCTGAGAGCCTCTGAGGGCCGGGCAAATCTCCATTTACAACTGGGAACACGCAGAGAAAGACAATGACGGGCCACGCAGAGAAGACTCACAACTTTCCCCATGGAAGTCATGCCTGGCCTGAATTAGAACCCAGGAAGATGATCTAGAATCAACATGTCAAAAGCTTTAAAATTTTTGGAATACCTTCTTAGTGCCATTAATGGACCTAATTTCTCACAACTCACCTGTTTCAGTAAGAGCCAGTGGTTCTGTGTTCACCATGAGATTGATGGTTGCACTGGAAGCTAACCTTGCTGACTGTGCAGGTGGAGGCTGAGTTTTCTCTATAAAAGAAAAATACATGCAACTAGTCGGTAAGTCAGAACTTAAGGGTTAGGAATCCTTAGCAACTGACGCTAACACAGAGGCCCACGAGGTCTCTACATACACCACTATGTCTGCAGTCTGCAAGCTGAATCCATCTGTTGACAAGAAAGTGGAGGAAATCCTTGAACGTCTGAACAAATCCTCTCATCTCCCACATAACCTCTTCTGCTGCCAGCCAGGAAAACAGAGCCCTAGGGTTGGAAGGGTCTTCAGACTCCTATCTCTATGGGCCACAGCCAGGGTGGCCAATGGGAGTTCCCTTTCCTCAAGCATACCTCCCCGATACCTACGAGGCTGGGTGAAGAGGAGGGGAGACCTCCCCGCCAACCGGGAGCATGGGGGGTCAGGAAGAATGGGAAGGGGAATCCAGAAAACTACAAAGAAGAGCGAGAACGGCTATGAGTAATCAAGAAAGGCTGGAAAGACATGCACAGGGCAGGCTCAGTGATGCAGAGGAGAGTGGGAAGACAGCTGGCCCAGCACAGAGGGACGGGGGAGCTGATGCTGATACTTTTCTGCAGTAGCTGCAGACATCCCACCACCCAAGGGTGACGAGACTTCACGGACTCCACGACTCCCCAAGGAGCCAGTGACTCACTGGTGCTTTCCACGCACTGAACGTGGAACTATGGGCAGGGTGGTGGGCGGTAGAGCACCCCTGCTAGGTTAAGAGGCTATATTTCCCCAGATGCTACGCTGGAAGGGGCTGTGCTCAGGCCAAATGGATCCATAACGTGGCCCGGGACCCCAAAGGTGGGCCAGCACTTCACATGAAATCCCATTTTCCGTCTGTCATTCTATAAAGTTAGGGGACATTTGAACCACCCAGGACTGTTTGTTCAGCTAGTTTTTGTTGCTATTTCAGAATAGATTCAATAAATAAGAATTGTTCCCTTCTTGTCCTGTTTGCATGGCTTTTCTTGAACCAACTGTGCACTTACTTGTACTGAAGCTTCCTTGGTAGGTGGCTCTGATATGGGTCCTCAGGTAGCAGACCACCATGACATGGTACGTCTGCCCGGGGATCAGACCCCCGATGACACGGTCCGTGACTGTGAGGTTCTGCTTCAGAACCAGGGACTGATCGTGGGCCGAGGTGACGGTGAGGTCATAAAAATAAGGACTGGGGGGCTCGGGCCTCTCCCAGTGGAGCTTGGCGCTGCTCTCTGTGACCTCAGACACCTGAATTTCTCGGGATGCCTTAACTGAAAAATAGACCAAAGCAGAGTGGAGAGATTTTTAAAAATCCTATATGACTGTAGCACACAGGCAAGAGGGAGAATCTGAAAGAGAGGTGTCAACAGAGAGTTGATCTGAAATTTAGCTGAGTCAGGGCACTAATTTCTCGTTCGAGCTCCTGGGAAATATTAATCTTGTAATGTATAAGTATATATGAAATGTAAAATTCATAGTAATTAAAAATCTCATTATTCATTAACAAGGTGAATAACTACCAAATTGAAAATCTCTACTGTTAAGAAGTTACTTTGAAAATGCAAGGTCCGGCATGCTAACCATAAGTTAAGCGTTCAATACAAAATGAGCCCCATAATTTTGAATACATTAGGACATGAAATTTTAGGGCATGACATGAAAATCCTTTAAAGGAATCTCTGCTTTCTCTCCATTCATAAAATGAAGACAATTTCCATCTTTTCATGAGCACATACATTCTGCCTTGTGACATGCTGTAGTTTCTTCTAATATCTCCTCTGAAGAAAAATAAAATAGCACACTCGGGGTCTCATTAAACCCACCTACCCCTTGTACCTAATTTGGTCTGGAACATATTTTTCTCTTTGTCAATATGAGCATGCAGCTCAGTCTTGGGGGGGCGGGGCTCTGACTTTTCATTTTGCTGAACTTAACACCCTGATACTGTCTCACTGCACAGCCTGGGGCCCTTTTCCTGTGGGCATGAGCTTTGGGGCAGAGACAAAGTTTGTAACTATAAAGAGCCCATCCAGATCTTTTTGAGTCATATTCTATGGGAAGCAGGTCTGGCTTCAGAAACCAAGGATGGAAAAGGTCCACTTTGCCTCCTAGGAACCGACGGCAGGCTTTTCTTTCTTTCTCTCTTGCCTACTAAATACGGTCTAAAACCCTACTTTGACCTAGAACCTCATCCCTTTAGCTTAAGACAGCTGGATTTCCAAGCCAGATGAGCTGTGCCCCCCTGACATCCCAGAGAGAATGGGGAGCTCTCACCCACCGTAAGGCAGGGGCTGGGGCACAGGGTGGGGCAAGGTAGAGAGGAGGTGGCGAGGCTGGAGACCCATCTCAGCTCCTCTTTGCATGGGACCCACCAACCAGACAGAGGTCCTAAGAGAAAGACTGCAGTCTATTATAGAAGAGGAGTTGTTTTGATAATGCCCTGCTCTGACCAGCACCTTTTAAAATACATCATCCAGATGTACCAATCTCAGATCAATGACTCTATTTTGACATGCCCTTGATGCACTAAATGAGGACATAACAAGATGCAGCCCCAACCCTTTTAAAATACATCATCCAGATGTACCAATCTCAGATCAATGACTCTATTTTGACATGCCCCTGATGCACTAAATGAGGACATAACAAGATGCAGCCCCAACAAGGGCTTTCTTACCCAGAGGCTTAGCAAGGACTGACTTGGCGGTGCCTGGTTTGGCTGCCTGTGACCTGGGGGCCTCAGGCTTGGTGGCCACTGGTTTTGCAGCAGTGGTGGTGGCGGGGGGTCTTACAGCTGCTGGCTTCACCACTGCAGGATTCGCTGCCACTGGCTTTGCTGCTGCAGGACTCATGGCCGCTGGTTTTGCCACTGCAGGATTTGCTGCCACTGCAGGATTTGCTGCCACAGGCTTTGCTGCTGCAGGACTCATGGCCGCTGGTTTTGCCACTGCAGGATTTGCTGCCACTGGCTTCACCACTGCTGCTGGCTTCACAGCCACTGCAGGTCTGACTGTGGCCATCTTTGTGGCCACAGGCTTGGCAGCAGCTGGCTTTGCGGAGGGCAGATTTACGATAGTTACTGGTTTTGTAGTGGTGGTCACTGGTTCTTTTGTGGTCACTGGCTTCGTTGTGGTCACTGGTTTGGATGTAGGACTTGAAGTAACATTATTTGGAGCATTTCTGTTAAAACAAATTAAATGTTACCTCTGTTTGTACTTTTGCCTGCTATCTAAACCAGACAAAGATATAACCCTGTGAGCCACGTGAAATTTGCTGTTTTAGCAAAATGTATGTTGTAGTTTCCATAAATTATGTTTAGTATTGAATGTATTAAATTCCTTCCTTTTAGGATCTCTGCCACAAAAAATATGGAACAACATGTTAAAAGCAGAACATTAAAAATAAAGCTTATATTTTACATCTGACATCTTATTCTCAATGTATAAAATAAAGGCAGAGAGAAAGTAAAAGAGACAATAATTAATAATATTTAACAATGTTCTAATTATAACAGTTAACCAACTGAAACATATACACCAAAAATTAAGTAAAATCTATAATTAGCTACTTTCACTATAAGAAAATATCCACTCAACAAAATGCCAAGTTGAGCTGGAAAATTAAAATGTCAGCATATACCATTTTGCCCCCAGGGCTTACTGCTAGAAGCGTGCATATTTTTTATTTGTGTTAATTTTTGTGTACTTGGTTTATTTTTACAATTTCTCTATCTGTTATGAATCCCTAGAGAGAACAACAGCGTAATCAAACAGACACGATGGCAAAGACCCACACATTGTGCCTTTCCTGATCTTAGATGAAAATGCATTACTTTATAGCCATAGTACACTATATTCATAGCCATAGCATGTCACATACAGTGTATTCCCACGCTGACATCACAAAACTTCAAACACTAGGTTACTTTGCTAATTCTGTTTTCCTAAAGATAAGACGCTTGACCCAACTTTAGGGAATGTTCCAGAGAAATAATAAGGATCATTAAAGCCTAGGAAAATAGAACCTATAAATCTAGATCAAGCAAAGAGTAGAATCACAACAGCCAGATAAGGGTCCTCCCTGCCTTAGCAGGGCTTTTCAACCTACTATGCTGAGATTTGAAACCACTCCCTCTGAAGACAAGGCTGAAGGACTTCAGGGGTGATAGAGAGAAGGGATTGCAGTAGGAAGAGGTCAGCTTTCCTGCCCCACCCCAGAGGTCTGCCAGCAGTAAACCAGATATTCATTTTTCAAGGATCATTTAAATCCACATCTTATTGGGGTACAAAGGTCAGAACCCCCACTTCTCCCCAAAGTGTTACACACTGTGGCATTTACTTGAGGGGTACAAATTGCTGACACATTGTACAAGTTCAGATCCTGCAGCCACATCCCCCCACCTTGCCCTCTGTCACATGGCCACACGGTCATCCTCTCTGGAGCTGATATCACAGATGGAGTGGGGCAGGAGCCCCTGAGCATGTGCCAGGCAGCAGCACCACCAAGGGCACACGTCCTACCCATCCCAAGCCCTCCCACGAGTCCTCCCTGTAGAACAGCACGTTGCCTCCTATGCTACCGCCATCACATGTTACTACAACACTAGTAATTTTACAAAGACCTGGGGCCCATTTTTTGGATGTATTCCATCCTTCTTTACGAAAGCATTCCACACCAGATATGGTGGATTGTTTGGACACACGGCCTCAATTATCTACCTTCTCGGTGCCTGTGCCCTTTACAGTGTGATGGCAGGTCCTCCCATTAAGTCTAGTTCTCCACCCTTAAATCTAGGTGGGCCTTTGGACATGCTTTGGCCAGTAGCATGTGGCAGAAGTAACAGTGTGCTGGTTCTAACTCCAGTCTTGAGGCTTTGTGCACTTCCGCTTTTGCTCGTGGAATCCTGCCTGGCCACCTTGTGAACAAATCCAGGCTAGCCTACTGCAGAGTGAGAGACCACACGGAGCAGAGAGGAGCCATCCCAGCTGAGACCATCCTAGACCAGCTGACAGGCAGCCCAGCCAGAAATTGCTAACCTACAGAATTGCAAATTACATAATTGGTCATTGCGTTAAGTCACTAAGTTTTGGGTAGTTTGTTACGCTGCAAAATCTGATACAACAGATATTTTTAGAAGAAGAGCTCATGTGACCTTTGAGAAGTCACATTTTCTGGATTTCAATGTCCTCATCCATAAAGTTAGCAGTTGGTAAGAGAGACAATAATTATCATCACTTACATTTGTTTGTGACCAAACTTCACAGGATTCTTTGCTGGTTGGTCCCCTTGGAACCAATCACACTGTTTCCTGATATCTGGAGACAAGTAAAAAGCATTTTCACCTAGAGAAAAACAGAGAAAAAAGTATTTGAACTGCACATGAATCACACAGAAATTAAAATTAACCTGCAAATGAGTTAAATGGATCACACAATATTTATTTAGCCCATAAATATTTGTTAAATTGATTCCTCCAGACACACTAAAATCTCGTGGTTTTAAGCATTAACTGTGATGGTACTTGATCCATGAAACATCTTAAGCCAATATGCTCTATTTGGCAGTATGTGGGTGATCAGGTTAAAGAAAATATTTACACAACATGAGGGAGAAGACAACAATAGAAGAAAAAATCAAGGCGAGAGTTCAACAAATTCCAAGTTCTTGAACATCAAATTATAATCCAATTACCCTTAATACTTTCTCAATGCTTTCTTTAACAAAACTTTTGTTTTTAAATTTCTAAGGACAGGAACGACAGCCCCTGGGTGAACGTGCTGGCTGACATTTGCTTCACGTTTTTTCCCTGAATCTTTGTGGGGACAGGCCTTCTCAAGGTCGATACTGTTTTCACAGACCTCAGCCTTCTCTTGGATAATAAACTCTCAGCACATACATGTTTATTTATACTTTAGAAGTCTCCCTTGTTGGTTCGACACTTTGCCGTGCTGGCTCTGAGCTGTGTACTGTGCCAGGCTCTGGGGAATGTGATGGTGAACTAAACACCTCCCCCAGGAGAACACAGTCTACTGGGGACCCCAGACCCAGAAACAGATGGCCAAGAGGCCGTGGAACAGACACCGTAGGGACAGTGTCCAGATTAACCATGCATGGGCCTTGGGAGTGGGAGCTGCCACGGTGAGCAGGGGCAGCTGGCGATGAGTTTGGAAGATGAATGTGGATTTGCTGCTAAGGTAGGGTGGACAGCATTCCAGGGAAGGGGTCCCAATGGCAAAGATGCAGAGGGATCCAAGCCCAGGTCAATGCAACTCCTTCTAGAAGCTTCTCCCAATTTCCTCAATAGGATACACTTTTATTATGACATGCCAGCATATTATGTCACATGTAATACATGTAACCTCAGGGACCCCAACAGTGCTTTATGGCTAGGAAGTACCCTGTCAATCTGGTGGAATAAATGGGTGAGTGAAGACAAGGATGGTCGTCTGCATGTTCCCTGCGGACTCTGGCACACGAGAGGTGTTAATGTGTATTTGTTGGGTGGATCAGCACATCGGTTGTCCTTCCCATGACTGCTCCCTGATCCCTTGTGGCCCAATGGTGAGGCCTACCACAGAGCCATGGCCAGGGCACACACTGTGCAACACAGGACTTACTGCCCACAAAAGATGGTAACAGCCTCCCGAAGCGCATCAAAGGCTCTTCGTTGAGCTCGGTCGACTTGTCCACTAGCTTGAAGAAGACGTCGTTGGGCTCGCTGGCAAAGCCATACACCTCCTTGATGTTCACCTTCCTGCCGATGCCCAGAACCACAAAGAAGTAGCCTTTGCACTTGGCCTGCAAGACAGCTTTCTGGGCCTCCTCCAGCTGCTGCTTCTGCACCTCGCCCGTCAGCATCAGAACCACAACTTTCAGGTCCCGGGGGTTTGGTGCACTTTCAAAGATGTTCTCTATGGTGTAGTCAATGGCACTGCCCAGGGCCCTGGTTCCCTGCAGCTGCGTCATTCCGCTGCTGAGGAAGTCCACCAGCTTCCCCTTGGAGCCGTAGTCGGTCAGGGAGAACTCCACCTTCACAGGCGGCACGCTGGCATTGCCCACGGACGCGTAGGGTGCCTGCTGCACCACGGCCACTCTGGCAAAGTGCTGGGAGGCCTTGGGGTCTGGACTCACGTCCAGTTGTCTGACCAGGTACCCTATGAACTTCTTCATCTCATTGAACTGGAACAGACTGGTGGTCTCAGCGCTGTCTAAGATGAAAGCCATATCGATGTCCACATCGCTGCCGGCCGCTCTCCTATCCCTGAAGGCAGGCCTCCAGCTGCCAAATCCACAGGATGGGTCAATGTTGCAGATGTCTAGAAAGAAGCACGGTAGCACGTTTATTCTGTGACTCCCAGAGCAGGACACCGTCCATCAACCCACTGGGAATCTGGGTTAAATTTGCCACATAACATAGAAACTATTGATATCTTGCTGCCTTAATTGTGGTCAGAGTTCAGTTTCATCACCTAATACTTAGATGAAATAAATCAGTAAACTAAAATCTTTGTAGCATACCATGGTACTGGCATTAAAAAAACGGAAAAACTACCTTAGTTCTTTGCTATTCTTTGAAGAAATATGTTCTAGAAAGACACTAGAGCCAAACATTTCATTCTAGATTCTAAGGTCGAAATTTAAGCAGACCCCACCTCCTTTGTCACCTATGATACTGAGAATCCCCCTTTCTGAGAGGCTCTGTTTTGGGGGGGTCCACTTGAAATATGAAACTACTTAAGTAGTATTTACACTGGTAAATATAAAGCTTTATGATTCTCCATTGAACTCAAGCTCTTTATACAGGGAATTCTTCAGACGTCCCTCTGTGGATATTATGTTTTGCAGTTGCAGCTGGACAGACATTCCCATTAGAGGAACACCTTACCCAAGCAAACGTGACAAGTAAGGACGTTCTTCAGGAAGTTGGTGAGGTCTCCCCCCGCGGGCAGGACGAGAGCATGCCCAACCGCCGTGTTGTTGATCTGGTTTAAACACAAGGAAATGCTAGGTAGGATCTACATGATACGGAACTATTTGAAATGTAGCTGAGGAATAAATCAAAGTCACATCAATAAAATAAACTTCCCAAGAGCTCGGCATCTTCTCATTTTAGGGGTGGGGTGGGGGAGGCTCTGAGTAGAACAGGAAAACATAGGTATTATTTGAATGAATAAACTCCTGCACTGTCTGCAGGACCTGAAGCAACAATATTTAACCTCTCCAGGGTCTGAACCCCAGACCCAGCTATAAAACGGGGATAATGGTACCTTCTTTAATGGATTATTTGGAAGATTAAATTAGATAATGTATAAAGTGCCTGGTGTATCCTCTGACAAGTAGAGGGGCACTTAAATATTATCATTATTTTCAGTGTTTCAGCAGTAAGGGCAGCCAGCAAACATCAGCACCATCCCCTCCCCACCCTCTCGGGTCTAGCTGATGACAACGCAAGTGACGAAATCATTTCTATTAGAAGCAAAAAGTCCTGCCCATCAAAGTGCCTGGCACGCAATCAGTAATTACTCATTAACTAATAACTAATCTGAATGAATGAATGAGTGAGTGAATAATTGTTGAAGCTTGCTGAAGCCATGCTGTAAAGAAACACATGCGGTTCTGGGTCACTCAGCCCACACAGGGAAGATGCACATACATGGGCCCCTCACAGAGCTTATGGCTGGGGCCCGAGTTTAAGGCTTGATTCCCATGCCCAGTGCTCCATGCTCACACTGGCCTGCAGCCTGGCAGAGTAAACACCAAGAGACCCAGCTGTTTCTTGCTGACATGGGCAATGGTAAGTCCATAGACTGTCCAGTTTGGAAGGAAAGACATCAGAGATCACATCACTCCAGCCTCATCTTACAGCTGGGAAACCTAAGATTCCAGGAGGTTAATGACATGTGTATGTTACTTTAAATGGGCAGGTGGACGGGAACTCAAGCCAAGGCCTCCTGACTCCTGGTCTAAGACATTCTCCCTTCACACCTATCATCCACACGTCTTGAACAGTACCACCAGAATTAGCACTGAATGCATGTTAATTATAGTAATTAAACAAGTTATTCAACTGACTGACAAGGGGCCCTTGGTTTCTCTCTGGGCTGAACCTCGGAGACTGAATGCAGAAAGGTTTGCACAGTGGTACAGATTAGGGGGTGCTAGGGTCACTGATGCTTTGGTCCTGGTCTAAGACATTCTCCCTTCACACCTATCATCCACACGTCTTGAACAGTACCACCAGTATTAGCACTGAATGCATGTTAATTATAGTAATTAAACAAGTTATTCAACTGACTGACAAGGTTTCTCTCTGGGCTGAACCTCGGAGACTGAATGCAGAAAGGTTTGCACAGTGGTACAGATTAGGGGGTGCTAGGGTCACTGATGCTTTGTGGACCTCACTAAGAGACTATGGGTCTCCAGGGCTAGCCTGAGAGATTATCCCTCCAGGGCTGGTTGGGACAGAGTGGGGTGGGGTGTTAGCAGCACGTGGGCATCGAAGTCTGATAGACCAGAGTCTCGTCCCCAATTGAGCCCTCCATGAGCTTCAAGATCTTCTCATCCATAAGGTGAGACTCATGATACAAACCTCACCGACCTGTTCTGGGAAGTGGCTGCCCAGACACGGTCAGCCACAGCTCAGAGTGAGCATGTGGGGCCATCTTGGGAGAAGCCAGAGCTGACCCAAACTTCCATCTCCTCATGAACGAAGCAAACAATGCATACCACCCCCACTAGCAGATAGAGCATGTCCACCAGCACTGACACCTTGGTCAGGGCAATGCAGAGGACACAGACCCTGTCCAGCTGCCGAGAGCTGACAACATGCAAGGAGAAACCTGGAGGGAGTTAAGTTGGAGGCATCTGCATGTTGATCCAGCACCAGAGCCACAAGGCTGTCCTGGAAATCTCACAAGAGAGGTTCTTAGTTAGATTGGCTCCGCTAGGACCTTTAGAAGCTATGGGATATGAATCCACCAAGGAAAGAACAGATGTGCCTGAGGACCTTCTAGAGCCCACAGAGAGAGGCAGAAGCCAGCCAAGCACAAGGGCACAGACCTGCAAGGCGTTGATGAGCTGCCGGTCCTCCTGGCTCGTCAGGAACAAAGGCGTGATCCCTGCATCTGAGAGCTTGAGCACGGCCTCTCTGAGCTGTGGGGATGCCCTTGTGGGCTTAGTGCTGAAGAAAATGGCCACTTTCCTCATCAGGAATCCATTCCTCACTCGCTTAAATGTGTTTCTGGCCACGAACGACATGGCAGTTTCCAGACTCTGCTGCTTGGACGTCAGAGACAGCTGAAGGTTCTTAATCTTCTCCAAGAGGGCGGACTTCTTCTTGGAGTCAGCAAAGCGGATCTCCGTGGTCACCTCGTTGTTGTAGGTGACCACAGCCACTCGGGCCCCCCGCGGGCAGTTGCTCTCGGCAACGGTCAAGTCGCCCACAATGCTCAAGAGCACATCTCTCATCCGGCTAAACATGTCTGGGGTGACCCCCTCGGAGGTGTCTAAAGCAAAGGCTAGTTCTGTCGGGAAGACGGGGCATTCCAGGGGCCCTGTGGAAAGTGGGGGGTTTTCAAAGCAAACTTTACTTACTGGAAAAGGGGTCTTTCTTTCCTCAGAAGACAGTCAAATCACTGAAGTCGACTTACCATAGCAGCAAGCTAGAAGAGACAAAGGAAAGAACAGGTGAAGATGTGCCCACCGCGTGAGAATTTCAAATGCAAAACCATAAATGCGTCGCAGACAAAAGAAAACAGGGTACTTACGACATTTGTCTTTGATGCTTTGGACGAGGCCACATTGCTTTAGGAGGGAAGAAAGAGCACGTGAGGAGAGAAGCAGATAAAGGCTCACAAAGCATGATTCGCTCTGGACACATGCAACTTACGTCTATGGAGTCGCCTCTGTTGCCTTTGTGACCCTGTAAAACCAAGGAAGGAAAGGCTGAGAGACACAGCAAAGGTACCAGGTGTGGCATCTAAAAGGACAGTCTCTGGCCCACAAAAACATGACAGAAACAGCACAGGTGGTCTGTGGATAACCTTGATCATTTATAACCTCTCCCTATAAACTTGATTTTATTACCTGAAGCAGCAAAAGACAGTGAGGTAATTTGGCTTTTAGAAAAGCTCTACACCCTGAAAGCCAGGAAGCTCATCACCAGTCAATGTAAATCCCACATTTGAGCCTGAGTCTATACACAGCACTTGTCCCTAGAGAAGAGCTTCCTTTCATGTGTGCGCTTAACACATCCCACGCCCACAGGGACGGTGAGGAGGGACGGTGAGGAATCACCAGGCTGTCCTTGTGCATTCCTTGTCTAAAGCATCCCGGCTGGATTCTGCCCCCCAGGAGCTCGAGGGATAGACTCATGGCTGCCCTCAGCATCTCATTCCAATACCTTGCCACCCTGATGGCCGAGCGGTCACCTCATGGGCCAGTGGGCATCGTTCCATAAGGCTGTCTCCACCTGCTTGGTCTTCTTTGGTGACTGGCCTAATGCTTCCCCATTCAACGCTTCACTGGCTATGGCAGCAATGAGACCCACCTGACCCAACCTTTTTCTCCCTAGTTCAACCAACTAATTTGTTAACCTTTCCTTCTAGGAGTGATTTTCCAACTCCTGAGTTAGCTCTTCCATTCATCATTGAAACATCGATTTAAAACAAGGAGGCAATATCAAAAGAAATCCAAATAAGGAAACAAATACTTTAGCAATAAAGAGATAACGGCAGGCCTGCAGGAGGACAGCCTCCTGGTTCCTGGTGGTCGCGCAACTAGCAGGTTTTAAACCGCGAGCCAGTGGCTGCCTTAGGAATAAGCACGCTACTTCTCCAAGTCACAAGCAAGAGGTATTTAAATTTGCAATCTCTCGTTTTCCTCCTCTACACTAACTTCAAACAAACCCATACCAGGAAATTATAAAGGTATATTTTGATACACCCTAGACTATAGAGTATCACATAAAATTTTTTTAAAGTTTCTTGTTACTCTAAAACTCAAAAGCTTTTTTCTCCATTGTGGTATCAGAAGAGAAGTGTCAAAAAACAAACAACAAAAATTCAGCACACCTTCACCTTCTCTGTGAGGAAGAGAGGTGGTGGGGGGTTCCGGGGAGCCGTGTGTAAAGTATTAACCCCGGGGGGCTTCGGCAGACCTGGATAGGTACTTACAGACGGTCCCGGGTAGCCAGGGTCTCCCTTCTGTCCAACTGCCCCCGGAGGTCCTGAATTTCCCTACAGAGGGCAGAAGAAGCATTGCTCAATTGTGGCAGAAAAAGGAAAACTCTCGGCTCCCACAGCTGGAAGGAATGGTGAAGGTGACCTAACCCAACGTCCCCATCACCACGAGAAATCTCTCATTCAAGGTAGCTTGATTGTCTCCAAAATCCAACTGTAGGGACAAGCGACCTTAATAAGCTGATTTGAGTCCCCCCCCCGGCCCCGCGCCCAGCTATGTTCTCTGGCAGGTTAAAGTAAGACAGATGCTTGCCCGAGAAGTGTCGATCAGCCTATCTATGGATGCCCAAAGGAATTAGATCATTGTCCGGTGCAGATCATCAGCCCAGCGTCTGAAAACCCCGCCTCGAGTAGTAAGTGATCTAGCTCGACTGTTTTCACTGCTCAAATGAACAGGATAATGATGATGAATTTTTAACTATATTTCAGGTTTAAAATAACTGTTAGCAGTGTTTACCCACATCCGGACCACAATTTGCTAATTCAAGACCCATGCACTGATAGGAGGGGGAGTGACCGTCACTGAAGAGAGCAGTCTGGAACCAAAGCTGCCAAAGGAGAAGGGTAAGGAGCCGCGGTTCACGCACTTCATCAAACCCCGTAGCCTCACCACCTGGGTGCATGTGGCCTAATGTGACTTCCCATGTCACCCGTTCTGACACTGGGGTGATCATGAGTAGTGACCTGTGTGGTGTGTGAGAGAAGGGGCTCTTAGAGCCTCCCATGAGGGAAGACAGCCGCGGACCACCGNCGAGCCAGTGGCTGCCTTAGGAATAAGCACGCTACTTCTCCAAGTCACAAGCAAGAGGTATTTAAATTTGCAATCTCTCGTTTTCCTCCTCTACACTAACTTCAAACAAACCCATACCAGGAAATTATAAAGGTATATTTTGATACACCCTAGACTATAGAGTATCACATAAAATTTTTTTAAAGTTTCTTGTTACTCTAAAACTCAAAAGCTTTTTTCTCCATTGTGGTATCAGAAGAGAAGTGTCAAAAAACAAACAACAAAAATTCAGCACACCTTCACCTTCTCTGTGAGGAAGAGAGGTGGTGGGGGGTTCCGGGGAGCCGTGTGTAAAGTATTAACCCCGGGGGGCTTCGGCAGACCTGGATAGGTACTTACAGACGGTCCCGGGTAGCCAGGGTCTCCCTTCTGTCCAACTGCCCCCGGAGGTCCTGAATTTCCCTACAGAGGGCAGAAGAAGCATTGCTCAATTGTGGCAGAAAAAGGAAAACTCTCGGCTCCCACAGCTGGAAGGAATGGTGAAGGTGACCTAACCCAACGTCCCCATCACCACGAGAAATCTCTCATTCAAGGTAGCTTGATTGTCTCCAAAATCCAACTGTAGGGACAAGCGACCTTAATAAGCTGATTTGAGTCCCCCCCCCGGCCCCGCGCCCAGCTATGTTCTCTGGCAGGTTAAAGTAAGACAGATGCTTGCCCGAGAAGTGTCGATCAGCCTATCTATGGATGCCCAAAGGAATTAGATCATTGTCCGGTGCAGATCATCAGCCCAGCGTCTGAAAACCCCGCCTCGAGTAGTAAGTGATCTAGCTCGACTGTTTTCACTGCTCAAATGAACAGGATAATGATGATGAATTTTTAACTATATTTCAGGTTTAAAATAACTGTTAGCAGTGTTTACCCACATCCGGACCACAATTTGCTAATTCAAGACCCATGCACTGATAGGAGGGGGAGTGACCGTCACTGAAGAGAGCAGTCTGGAACCAAAGCTGCCAAAGGAGAAGGGTAAGGAGCCGCGGTTCACGCACTTCATCAAACCCCGTAGCCTCACCACCTGGGTGCGTGTGGCCTAATGTGACTTCCCATGTCACCCGTTCTGACACTGGGGTGATCATGGGTAGTGACCTGTGTGGTGTGTGAGAGAAGGGGCTCTTAGAGCCTCCCATGAGGGAAGACAGCCGCGGACCACCGCACAGCGGGGGTCTGAAGGCCCTGGGTCGAGGCTTGGGGTCCCACTCTTTCCCCCCGTTCTATCACTGGCCAGGCTGCAAGTGAAGGAGCATAATTTTCAAGAGCTCAGCAGCTCATCACGCTGCCACACACGTTCTCATCCCCACCCGCAGCCAGACGCAGGCAAACTCACCCTTCGGCCTCGGATGCCTTTGGGTCCCGGTGACCCGCCCGGCCCAGGCTCGCCAGAGGTACCCTGAGAAGAGAGCCAAGAAGCGGCATGTTACACCCTGGAAGGGATGGTCTAGCTGATGGTCCCTGACACAGGACCCCAATGGGACATGTGGGCCACACTTTCCAAGACAGCCAAATGGTTAACTCTGATTTACTCTTCCAGTAGGTTGCTAGCATATAGTGGCATTTGCAGACAGCCTTTGTTTATTTAATCAATAATGATAATGTCATATAAGTTATAGCATCTTACAGCTTACAAAGAACTTTTATTGGAGTGTTACCTCATTTAAACCCACAAGCACTATGACAAATGCATATTGTCATCTGTATTGACAGATGAGGGAGTGTCATAGAGAGGGTGAGGTCTTTCCCACGCAGCCCAGTTAGTAAGTGACTGACACAAGACTAAAACCGAGATATGCTGATTTCCAGTCCATGGACATGCCAGACTCATCTGAAAACAATGGTGATGTTTCACCACCAGGGAAATGTTTACCTTTGGTCCTGGGTATCCAGGGAATCCTCTTTCTCCCTGTAAAAGATAAATGAGTGACTCAATCTTTGGTTCTAATTTAAATTCATCTAAAATAAATTAATCTTGAAAGACAAAAAAAGTCTGGAGAGTCATCAAAAGAAAAAAATCACTAAAACACAATAAAATTGTAAGAAATAATTCTTTAAAAATACAACAGGTCAAAAGCTGTCCTTGGAGCCTCCTGGCCACAGGGACTCTTCTCAGAACCCTCAGAAGATACCTACTTTTTTGCCTCTGCGTCCTTCACTGCCAACTCCATCTCGCCCATCATCTCCCTGAGAGTGGAAAGAGAATGTCACTGCAAAGACCACCACAGCCACCATGTCTGCCTTGCTGTTCCCCCAAGCAGAGGGTCCTGAGTCCCTGAAATGCTTCCCGACCAAGGTCAGAAGCAGGAACACTACCCACTCCATCGTCCCCACCCTCCAGGTGTGAAGAAGACCGTCTGTACATGGTGACCTCAAAGGACTCCTTTAGCAAGACAGAGCTGGTAGACTGCAAATATTCAGAACCACGGGTAGCTGTGCAGATGTAGGATCAAAGACTCATCAAACCGGGGGATCTTAGAGTTGAAAGGAATCTTAAAGGCTGCCTTGATTCTATGCATATATGTGTCTTTGATTCCACTGCAAAACAGCAACACTGAACCCAGTCTCTCAGGCCCTCCTGAGTCTTCTGTGCCCAAAACTTACTCCCTTTCCTGAGCCCCTTCCCTTTTTTCAAAGCCATCACCTCCAGACCACCCCCCTTTCCAAACACCTTCCTCTCTGTATGCTCAGATCTGTCTTTATGGCTCTCTCATGTGGGGCATTAAGAACTGGACCGTTAATTATTTCAGAAGGATCAGAAGAATTTATGTGAAATATACATTAATATCTCTAAAACATGTAGAGAAATCACAACTTAGTTAATCTACAGTTTCAAGCAGACATCAACAACTAGAAAGCTGCCATCTCAAATTTATGGAAACAATCAGGAAGAGATTTCCTTCAACGGTTTAAATAGAATTTAATGTCTAATTTTTCTCCCTCTGCTTCTGAAACTAAAAGTAATAGACATAGATTTTTTTTTAACTTCGGTTACCTGGGGAAAAGAAACATAAGAAAAATATTTCAAAGCTTGGAAATTATAACCGTCAGACCAACCTGGTTCATTTATATCATTTTGGGGTGTGGTGACTCAATTTAGAAAAATTCCCAATGGACTGTAGATTTTTTTTTCCTACATAGAAATGTATATCACAAAATTATTGTGAATGAGTATTTGGAGTATTTTTAAATAACATTTCCAAAAATGAGTTATAGAGGTAATAATTTCTATTCCTGGGATGTCTCAGTCAAAAGAAATTGTTTCCATCTGGATTGAGATCTTATCAGATCCAATTTCATTCTAACCCAAGGACAACTACGTCTTTGCAGAAAAGCTCCATCTAGACATGCCCACAAAGCATTTGCAGGACCTAGAGTGAAGGCAGCCCAAGCTTCAGCAAACCACCACATTCACTCAGGAGAAATGTCCCCTCACCCCCCACCAATGAAAGAAAACTAATTTTGAGACTTGTTTGCTGTTATAAGCAGCAGATTTCACTGTCTCCAATCGTGTCTCCAATAACTCAAGAAGCAATGATCAAGCTGTCTCTACTTGGAACCCATCTCCCAGCTTCCTGTTTAAGAGTTCGGGACAACCAGGCCCAGGCGTATTGCGACCTTACCGTCTCCCCACGAGGGCCGCGGCTCCCAATTCCTCCCTTTGTTCCTGCCTCTCCAGGCTCACCCTAGACAGAGAAACAAGGCTGAGGTGACGCACACGTGGTTCCAGCCCTGCCTTGCTCCAGATCCTGACCCAGGAGCCGCTGCAAGCTACTTCCCCTTGTAGGTTTCAACGAAATGACGCTGTAGTCGCGACATTCATGCATTTGCGTGTGGACTCCTAGAAAGGAATCTGGGAAGGCTGTGTTTGTTCTTTTCATCTTTGTGCTGTGGGAGACAGCCTGACAGGAAGAGAGAGAGAGAGGCCACGGGAGAAGGAGGTGTGAAAGGCAGTGGGCCTGGAACTCAGCCGTGACCCCAACACCACCAGCCAGGCAGAGGGACCGTTGGGGATTCGCACGAGCACATTTCTTTTACTGAGGAAATGCTGTCTTTTCGGACGGCTGATGATAAATTGTGTTTCTTTCCAAGGCTGATGGAAAGCAGGTTCTCAGCCTGCATGTAACAAACTTGCTGTTGTCAGGAATAATCTGGATCTGGGTCTCCCAGATGCTCTAAACAAGGCGAGCAGAGCTGCTGTGTGTGCACAGCCTGTATTTAAAAATTGTGTGTTGCACTAATGCAAAAACTGTGCAAAGCGCTGCCCGGCTGTTCTGACGGCTCAGGGATGCTGTGCTGTTGGCACATGCCAATGTGAGAAAGGATCAGGCAACTTGCCAGCTGATGGCAGGTTCAGAGTGGGAGAAAGCCAGCCCACAGAGTGGGGACAGTGGCTGGGATGGAGATCCGGCTATCAACAGTGGAGTCTGGGGTGGGAACGGGCAGTGGAAAGGGGAAGGGATGTGCAAACCAAGCTGGTGGACAGAGTGACAAATGAGGAGGAGGGGACGTGTGCATCTGGCTGGGTCCCTGTCCTCAGGGGAGCTCTACCTTTCTCAGGACAAACCTTTCTTCCTAGGGGACCCACTCTGCCGCGTTCTCCAGGAGCACCAGCCGTACCTCCACTTCCCTGGAGCACAAGGAGAGGGTGTGTCAGAAAAGTATTCCTTCGTCCACGCAAAAGTGTCTCTGGGGCCTGGCCCCCCCTGCAGGAGGTCAGAGCCCACCGAGGACACGCAACCTGTCCTGCCTGCAAATCCCACACACTCAGTGCCGTGCAGAGAAATGGCTTGTGCAAATTTAAAATATCAGTGTCACGCCTCAGTGCCAGTTTTTACAAACACATGTTGCAGTTATGCATGGACATGTCCTAGGTTCCTAGCTACATGACAGGCCCCCAGATTTTACTTGACTTTGTTTTCCTTCCCATTCCCCACCCCCACAACGAGCACCTGATGTATACAAGTACACAAAATCCTGTTGAGTGAATAAACCAATGAATGAAATTAACTCTTAAAATGTGGTGCAGCCTACACTGCCCAGAAATGCCCTAAAACAGATGGCGGGAAAATGCAATTTAATAAGTGTTTCTGGGACTATGGGTTAACTATTTGACCATCTTTGCACCTGTGCCTTCTTAACTTCTTAATTAATTAGAAGATAAACAAGCGTTTTTGAAAAAAGCACAAAATCTTTAAAAATAGGTCTTTATGGAGGGACGTTCTAAGCAAGCTCCTACCTGCTGATAATGTGAAATTTTGTGTGCATTTAGGTAGTAACAGACAGGTATGTTACCAGTTCATTAGTCACTATTATTTTCTGTGACAAATGATAGGAC